ATTTTTTAAAAATAATTAGATTGTTTTAGAACAAATTTTACCAGCCCTCCTATGAAACATAGATGAAAAGACTTAAAGCAACAGAAATGTAGTTTCTACAGAAAGATGCTGAGAATACCATAGACTTAACATGTGAGTTATGAGGAAGATTTGAGAAAAATGAAAATAAAAACAAAATTTATACTGAGAATCAGAAAGGATATGCTGAAATTTCTTGGGCACATAATGAGGAAAGAGGGTTTGGAGAATTTGATACTCACAGAACATATTGAAGAAAAGAGTGGGGGGCACCTCGACGTAGTATGATGGTTACAACTGAATAGCGAGTTTGATCATCACTGGGAGCCCCATATTTTTGGCCTTGTGCCACATCTAATCTGCACTTAGAACATCACCTTAATGAAGGCAAAAGGGACAGAGAAAAGCAACAAATAACCTAAGAAGCTTGTGTAAATAGGAAATTGGGGAGAGCCATGAAGGCTCATATCCTGAAGGGACACGTTACATAGAAGAGGAAGAATATATTACTGCCTGTGTTTCATAAGAGTTTCATTTAATATATGAAAACTGTATGCAAATGTAACTCCTATTATGAGACAGAACTAGTCTATTATTGGAAGTGTCAGTGACTTAAAAGCACAGAAAATAGTAACAGTGAATCAAATTCAATTTCTGACTAAGTTTGTATTTGCTTCATACACTTGGGAAAAGTATGACTACATCTCTTCACCAAGTATAAATAAAATAGTAGAGAAGACTCGGCGATCTGGCTTTGTTCAGCAAACCAATCTTGGAGAAGAACAACTCTGAATTCAAAACTGGAACTTTGGCATGGGGCTAGCAGCTCCTCCCTATAGAAACCTAATAGTCGCCAAAATTAAAGTAATGTTATAATTACAATCCTATGTTCTGTAAGGAGTCAATTGCATTCCTTTTTATCAAGTTCATTACCTGGTTTGACATCACCTTTTAATGATATGCTGGTGAACAAGATACAGAATGACAACTTGACTGCCACAATTTTATTCAACTATATGTTCACAGGGAAAACAAACAATAGTTTCACCATTTTTGTCTTCTCGAATGTCAACTAATATTTCTATAAATTCATTTTTTCTTTTAAATCCTTAACCAAGCTACAAAGTTTCTTTCTACTTGGATAATGAGACTGTACAATTTAGAGACAATCTTTACACACTTGTGTGCTTTTCTGGTAATTTCTTTCACAAAAAAAGTGATTTACTTAGCTACTCTTTGCTAAAATCTACAAACTCATAGACATAAAATAATGTCTAGATGTTGTATATTTGAGTTTCCTTTTTTAGCTTCAGAGAATGAATACAGACATTTTCAAAATTCAAGCTTGCTTTTCATCTCTTTATGAAAGCTTTGGTAAGCAAAAGGGAGATATCTACCTCATCCATATCTGCAACAATGTCCATTCTAATCTTGCAAGACTATACAGCTATGTAACCTGACTTAGTGATGGGAAAACTTTTCCATTTCAAAATTTATCATTTCATTTACCTTCCTGCACTTTATTGTCTGTTCTAGTATGTCATCATCATCCTTTTTTTTTTTTTTTCTCACACTTCTCACTTGTGGAAATCTCTTCTGGTTTCTTCCTTATCATCATCCTTCGACCTCCCTATATTGGTCAGAATTAGGTCTTATCATTTTACAGTTGAACTAGCTAGATGCAACTGTAAGTTCTATTCTAATAGTTTCTTTTCTCACACTTCTCACTTGTGGAAATCTCTTCTGGTTTCTTCCTTATCATCCTTCGACCTCCCTATATTGGTCAGAATTAGGTCTTATCATTTTACAGTTGAACTAGCTAGATGCAACTGTAAGTTCTATTCTAATAGTTTCTTTTCTCACACTTCTCACTTGTGGAAATCTCTTCTGGTTTCTTCCTTATCATCATCCTTCGACCTCCCTATATTGGTCAGAATTAGGTCTTATCATTTTACAGTTGAACTAGCTAGATGCAACTGTAAGTTCTATTCTAATAGTTTCTTTTCTCACACTTCTCACTTGTGGAAATCTCTTCTGGTTTCTTAATCATCAATTATCCTTCAACTTCCCTATGGTTAGTTAGAACTCCATAGACAATTCCTTTCCGCACTGTTCAGTCTTGCATTGATGTCTCCAGATCCCCACTGCTCAACCCTTGATCCCAAGCTATGGTGTCCGGAAAAGTCAATTTTCATGAGAAGACACTTCCAGAAGGATGCCGTAGGAGTAAGGATAAGATAATTTCCCTGTCCGCTCAGTGACAGTAGCCGACAAACTGTAATAATTTTTGTTTGAGCATAAGACAGATTGATCTCAGTTCTCTGTCAATTGTGTTAATCATTGCATGAGATTTTTAACTGATCTAATATGAACTACTTCGGAGGGGAAAGAGGCCCAGGGCTGCATGCATTTTTTGCAATGGTAGAATAAAATAACTTACCTCCAGCACAAATAAAGATTCAAACATGCCTCACATATAAACTGTCTAAAGAAGAAAGAAATGATGGCTTTGTGGGTTACATATGTAAAACAGGTAAATCCCAGAGTCAGATACTCTGTTGCGAGATTATCTTTATGCATATGTAAATTTGGGCTGTAAATGATACATAAAAATGGGGAGAACGAGGCGACAGGCAGAAGGGTTTACTGGTGTGCTGAACAGGTTACACATGTCGTGGACAGTAGAGTGTTTAAGAGGAAACTGATTGTGAGCATTGTTTGCAAGGAAAGAAACAAGTTTAAAGCTTTTTTTACTACATAAGTAGTATCCAAATCTAGCAAGGTTTCCAGAAAAGACTAATTTCCACAAATAATTCCTGATGTTCCTCTGTTCAAAAAGAAAGCATTATCATTACATGGCCTATGACCGATTATCAAAATGTTGTTACATTTTCTGCTTGACTATTCTGGGAATTTTTCTGCAACCAGGTAGTAGGTTCCAAACCCAATTGATAAAATAAGAATTTGATTTTATATGGCTCTGTGGGTAACAAAGGCAGACAGACAAATGTGTCTTTTGGTCAATAGCTGTAATTCATCTAATAAGTAATTATAAAATTATAGGCTATATTGTACTATGAGCAACTAAGAATCTAAGCTGATTTTAAGCTTTCTACCAATATAGCTGCTAGTGACATGACAAAGATCATTTTGACTGGTAATAAAACCTTTTTGATTCACATCTCTTCCTGGAGCATGAGTTTGAAAGTGATACAAAATATCTTGACTGGAATTTGAACTTTGTTCAACACTTCAATTTTCTGATTGGGTAACCATTGCACCACCTTGCTCTTAACTTCAAATTAATTGGGGGCAATAAATAATTCAACAACAGGAATGAACAAGAAAATACCGAGTTTATAGACATGGCGGAACTAACAAACGAGCTAGTGAGAGGGAACACATTAATAAGAAAACAACAAGAATTAACACTAATAGTGGACCAATGAGTGTCAAGTAGTGAATGAAAGTACTAGCATTAAATGGTAAGTGAAAATGAATACTATCAAACAGTATGTTAATCAGAGACCTGGTCAAAGAAACCAGATCACCATAAGTACCAACATTTGGTCACCAAGAGTGCATCTGACAAATGAATGGAACGCCAATGTTACAGAAAAAAATCTTAATTACCCCCACCCCAGGAACCAATCAAAAATGCATTTATTATATCACCCCCCAATCACTGTGTCTGCAATTTTGCTTTCTGCAGTTTCAGTAACCTGCAAAATAAATTTTACTTAATAATGGTTTCAAAGTCTGTGAGAAAAGATGATGATAATTTAGATTCTATGAAAGAGAGAACCTGTAAAGTGTTTCCACAAAATGAAAACGTGAGTTTATGACTTAAGAAAAAAAAAAAAAAAAAAAAAAATCACATAAGACTTCTAAAATCTTCAATTCGACATTATTTTTATTAAAGAATATTACAATAATTATTGTTTTGTAATTAATTATTGTTAATCTCTTATCATAAATTTATAAATTTGGTTTTATCACAGATACATATGTATAGAGAAAAAACATGTCAGGATTGATTGCTTCTTCAGTTTTATAAAACAGGTTTTTAAACCTGACAGGATAATGAAACTGGTATCAAAATGGAGTAAATTTATTTCTCTTCAAAATTATGAGGTTTGACTGATAAGTAAGATCTCTAATCTTATGAAACAAGTTTTAAACCTGACAGGATAATGAAACTGGTATCAAAATGGAGTAAATTTATTTCTCTTCAAAATTATGAGGTTTGACTGATAAGTAAGATCTCTAATCTTATGAAACAAGTTTTAAACCTGACAGGATAATGAAACTGGTATCAAAATGAAGTAAATTTATTTCTCTTCAAAATTATAAGCATTGATTGATAAGTAAGATCTCTTTAAGTGAAGGATTTGTGTAAGTTTCAAGTTCAGTAGTTACAAATCTTGTACACATCAAAATACACACGTGCATCAATCCCAGCCTACTCACGTTGGCAACAAAAAGTATTTTATATACACACACTGCAGAGACTCACAATTTGCATGACCAGATGAGTACTCTATGAAAGAGTGAGAATTATGGCAAATATTACAGATTTATCACTAAGATAAAACCACTGTACACATGGCCTGGAAAACAATGGAGTTTCTAAGATAAACTTTTAATCAGCAGATAATTTTGTAAAATTCCAAAATTCAATGACTTATTGTTTGGTTTGTTTTATATGGTTTATCAACCTTTTTTAAGGTTATTCAAATGCAGAAAATATTTTTAGGTTGTAAGTTTTTTTCTTTGAGATAATAATGATTTACTGATAGTAAGTCCTACTGAAGTTTTATTAATTAAACCATAGCTAGAGAAAAGACGAAGTGGGTTCATAACTTTCCCAAAGGTAATTTTGTGTAATTAACTATAATGAACCTGACTGGAATTGGAACTTGGCTCTCTGACTTCTAATTTTGAGCCATTATCCATTGCACCATCCACACATCCAAGTTTATAGTACCTGAGATTCCCATGTGGTCACCCATCTTGATACTGACCAGGTCCGATATTGTTTAATTTTGGTGATCGCATGAGAGCAGGTGTTTTAATGTGGTATGTGCATAAGCCAGCTTTATGATTGGAATAACTTAGGGAGTATTTATACTGCAATAAACACAGACAACTCAAGGGAGATATCTAGGTGAGGGTTGCATCTACAATCATTAACAGCTCTTACGGAGGATGCTATCAAAAGAGTGCATCAATTGGAAATTCAGGAATTAAGTATATTTATGCTGCGTAATTTTTCATAGCTAAATATGGATATATCACCAGCATTTGAATTTTAATTCTCTATAAAACTATTTTTGACTAATAGAAAAAAAAAAAATGGTTAAAATTTTTAGATTTTCAACAAAAACAACAGCCCAAAATGTGAAGTACAAATTGGGGACATCAAAAACAGGCAAGGACAAAAATTTTAATATCTAAAAAGTGTTTTAACAGAGGATGGAATATGCAACACCAAAATTCAAAAGCCTATTGGGATAGCGAAAGATGCCCTCTAAAAGCAAATTATTATGCAAATAGTGTACCCCTGCAATCAATAAATATTAAAAATTGATAGATATAAACAATATATGATGTAATGGAATAACCTGTCACCCACCGCATGAGTGACTACACTATAGGTAGTAACTCCCTATAAGTATCTGTAAGTCAACAGACTACAGAGTCTAGCTGCGACCTGTTCCAGCTAAACAGTCAAACTCTCTGCCCAAAGGCAGAGAGGAACCTGGATGAGACTCTGCTAAAGGGCAGAGTCACATTCGAGGAGGTAGATTGACCCTGAACCCGTTTATGCAGGTTCAAAAGGGAATATTTTTGGCTGAGTCTACAGTCTTGAAGAACCCACATTAAACCGGCCTTGTGCCACATGCAATCCTCGTGGGGGGGGTAGCTAAATATACTAGCTGGCATCTATTCCAGCTAGACGATCAAACTCTCAGTCTCGTCCAGGGAGGAAGACAGACCTGGACCCATTTATGCGGGGTTTATGGGGAATTTTTGGCTAAGCCTATTGGCTCGGATTGCCCTGCATTAAATTCAGCCTTGTTCCACATTCTACCCCGTGAGGGGTTTGGTAAATATTACTAGCTGGGATCTGTTGAGTATGACTCAGACTTACACAAGAACTACCAACCTTCTAATAGTAGCACTCACTATTGGATTGACTTGCGACAACCATATGCATAACTTACCTTTATTCTTATTGCACTGGTTTTTACAATAAACTTTTACTTATTTATCCACATTCCTATTAGCACAGAACTAAAATAGTCTTGAAGACTAAAATAGCAGCATTTAGAGTAAGTAGAAAGTTTTGATGAAAAAAAAAATATATATAGAAAGGGGCATAAGACAAGGATATATCTTCTCATTAGACTTATTTAACCTTTACAGAAAGGTAGTCATGAGAGAATTAGTATGCATTACAGACAGCCACAATCTTAACAACATCAGATATACAGATGACAGTGTTAATAGCAGACACAGAAATTAAACTACAGGAAATGATACAGGGGGTAGTAAAAGAAAGCAAGAAGAAAGGACTAAGCATCAATTGTAAAGAGACATAATATATGGTAGTCAGCAAAAGGGGCAGCCCAAGATGTGAACTAGAAATTAAGGACATCAAAATCAAGCAAGCAAAAAAAATTTAAATATCTGGGAAACATTTAATGTAAACAGAAAATACAATACTGAAAATCGATTCCCGAAAGCTAAGCAAAGTATTAAGAAATGGAAAAATTTTGTTAGAAACAAAGAAAAGAGTACTGAAGTGTTACATAATATCAGTCCTCCTAAATGGCAGAGAATGCTGGACAATCTCTTCACAAATAAAGACACTTTAGGTAAAAAGAAAAAAAGTGGTTCTACAGAAGGATGCTGAGAATCCCACAGACTGAACCTATGAACAACAATGAAGTTTTAGGAGAAAATGGAAACGAAAAGGACATTTACAAATAGAATCAGAAAGACTATGTTGAAATTTCTAGGGCATATAATGAAGAAAGAGGGCTTAGAAAATTTGATACTTACAAGACAGATTGAAGGCAAGAGGGACATAAGAAAACAATACATAACCTACCTAGTGAGCTGTGTAAATGGATAACAGAGCAGGCTTTAAGAGAGAGAACAAAAAGACAAAATGTATTAAGAGCTACAAAGGACAGGAAATTGTGGAGAGCCATGATCGTCCATGTCCTGACAGGACATGGCGCATGAAAGCAGAAAGTCATAAATATGCAAATCTATTAGGATGGACTACAACCCGTTGAGTGATGAAACTGAATAAGTTTTTGGTTGGAGCATTGCCAATCATATTTTTATAGACAATTAAATTAATAAACTGATTCAGACTCCAGACAGAAGAAAGCAACCTTCCTACCTGAGATTGTGTAAATGAGTGTCAGAACAGGGATTAGGAGAGATAGGAAAAAGAAAAACATTACAAAGGACAGGAAATTGTGGAGAGCCATGATTTCCCACATTTCCCTTTTCTGCCAGTAATAATTGCCTTTCTTCTTGACCTCCCAATTTTCACTGGATTGCTATAGCAAAAAATCATTAAAAATGCACCTAATAGCTCCATTTTGTTAGTAATGTTTCCTGACCACTGACAATACCTTTCTTTCTAATGTTCAATGCATTGCTACAGTGTAATGTTGACATTGTACAGACTAATAAGAACATTAGACTCCAGTGTAAAATTACTGTTTATCCAACTAGAGACCTCATCAATATCGACGAGTGGGTGTGTGGTTTTGAGACTTTTCTCCAAATGCGAATTCTTCTTGTTAGACTCTAAGAGACTTTTCATCTTTTCCATCTTGGGTGGGTGCTTATATAACTTCCTATCATCAGTTGTCCCACATGTGCACATGCTCAGTGCAGCTGGATCGGCTACCTACTTATGTGTCAGGACAGCCACTGACATCCAATGAAGGCCAGAATCTGCAACTTGTGACCAGGAAATCATCTTCCAGATAAACCTGCTGATGCACCTGGCTTCTTAGACTTTGCACCAGATCATCAATTTTGGTATCATCTAAGGTGAGTCCAGTACATACTGTGGTCATCACATATCAATTTCTCTTATTAACATGAAATTTGATTCACATTCTATACTCTACCTTTATAAGAGCCTAATCAGGTGGAAAATGGAATACTGTTACCATATTTGGGCATGAGCTACCCAGACTTCATTTTCCATCTTGATAGAGTTCAAAAGAATCTTATCCTTGTTGAAGAAGGATTATTTTCCACACTCCAACCTTTCTCTCACAGGCGGGATATGGCAAGTCTCTCACTTCTCTATTGCTATTACCATGGAAAGTGCTCATACAAACTGTATCTCTTGATTCCACCAGGTCTGGCCTTCATGGCTAGGTGACGCCATGCTACTTACATAGTAACAAACCCCCTTCTGTATTCCATCAGTGAGAATTTCCACTCAAATAGCTTCTTCCTTTGGAACAGACGCCCAAGAGGATGTTTCCCATGATCGCTACAATCTTAACCTGTTCAAGTCTAAAGTCAATTGTTACCTTCCTCTATTACCCATATAAACTAACCCATAATGTAACCCTCTACCTCAAGTGTCCCTCAGGCCTTGTACAGGGTGAACCTTACTGTATAAAAAAAACAAAACTTTCTGGTATTTCCTGGAATGGATTTCACTGACAATCTCCTTCTTCCTGATATTCAGTACACAACACTGATGGCCAAAACGTTGTCAAATTCTTTGCACCAATTAATCAATTTTTTTGTTTCCCTAACACCGGGAATTGTTTGTGTAAAAAGTAACTAAAACCATATAGAAGTGGAAAAGCAGTGAAGTCATTGGACAGTGATAAGATTAGATAAGACAAAACCTTGTGTGTGTGTATATGTATATATATATATATATATATATATATATATATATATATATATATATATATCAGGTTCAAATTCAAGCTTGATTAGTGTTCCAATTTCTTTTTCTTGCTGTCTCTAAGGTTTGACAAAGCTGTTTCTTAAATCCTCCTCATGATATCAAATTATGTAAATGCTAAACAACTTATTTCTCACTAAATCAAACAAATTATATATTTATAAGATACTAATTTGCCAGATATGGCAGCATTAGTATAAAATGTAACTAATATTGTCAGGACTAAAGGAGAATAAAAGTGAGTTAGCAAAATGAGAAAGGGGAAAAAAGAAAAAAGTCTTGAGCAAGAAGTGTTCTGCAAGAGTGTGATGTGTTGTTCCAAATGAGTTGGTCTAATTAGCAATAACAAAAGAAGAAACCAATTTTCTCAATATCATGCCAGGTGGCTAGTGTGAGAACAGAGGAAAATATACAAGGACTGGTGCTGGTGACAAACATGACCATGGAATGTAAAAGTGCAGACATTAAAGTTGATATACTTATCCATTCTTTTATATAAAAGGGAGAACTCCCTTTTTTTTTTTAAAGTACTTCACCTCAAGCAAGGCAGGAGTGCCACTAGCATGCAAGGGGTTACAGAGGATTGAGAACAAGAGGCATGTTTGAGAAAAGGATACAGAGAAGGACAGGGAACAAGATCAAAGAATCAGAAGATGTCAATTGACATTACACTTGAATATTTGAAGATTATAGTCATCAGGAAAGCAAGCAAGAGGAAGGGAATTCCATAGATGGGAAGTGTGAGAGAAGCTGTTTGAGTAGAAGAGACGGTTACATTTAACTGTTTTGACAGTGAAAGTGTGGGATCAAGATGCCAGCCTAGTAGCTCGCTTAAATTCATGCAATCTGGGAACTAGCGAAAGTAGCTCGTCAGAACATTTGCCATGAGAATACTTGTAGAAGAGACAGAGAGAAGCCACAGCACATCTGTGAGAAAGCAACTGTAAATGAGATACCAGATCAGGACTTATTGCATTGCATATTCGTCTCTGGATTTTGTTGAGGACCTTGAGATGTACACTAGGGGCACCAGATCATATACAGCAATATTCTATGCAAGGATGGATGGTTGATTTATAAATTTGAAGAATGGATTCAGATGAGAAAAAATTTCTAGCA